AAGGAAAACATAGCATGGAAGGAGCTCGGAACCTGAACTTCTGGCAAAGAGAAGACATGGAAGTCAAGTGCTTGCGAAAACACGTCAGATATACTACCACCACTGAACCAAAAATCAGTCCTGTTCTCTTACCTTCACACAACATTTTAACAGAAAGTGTAACTAGCAGAAGAATTTCTACAAGCTTGCGTCAAAAAACCCAACTTGTAATATAAGAGCATTGCCAAAACTCTTATTATTCTTACACTGTATCTGAATAAAAGGCTGCAAGAAGCAAGGCGGACCGACCAAGGCTGACCTCGCAACTTGCGGACACAGACAGTTCTGAGGGTGTGATCTGAAAGCCCAACAGCTGGCAGGAACAGCTGCAGGAGGTCAATGACTGAAGACTCGTGAGCCCTTTCTGAGGCCTGCCACCAACTGATTAGAGCCAGAATGTTATAGTGCTTCAGTGTCGGACTAGTACCTGCGAAAACCCAGGTTCAAATCTCCACTCGTGCCATGGAAGTTTGCGGGGTGACCTTGGGCCAGTCACACACTCTCAGCCTAGCCTACCTCACAGGGTTGTTGTGAGGAAAAAACGGAGGAGAGGAGAATGATGTAAGCCACTTTGAGTCCCTATTGGGGAGAAAGGTGGGGAACAAATGAATTTATAATAAATAAATACATTCTCACAAGGCCCTAGGGTTTTCCAGGCATGCGACATATATGTAGCCAACTAAATTTGGTGAGGTACCATGAAATAGTGAGGGAACCCAATGATCTTTCTGGATACATGTGTCCCCCCCAAAAAAACCCCTTAGGGTATTTCCATACAGAAGCACATCAAAACCTCTCACATACTTTTTTTTTAAAAGCATAAATGTTAATGAAGGAGGGAATTCAGAAGAATGACTGAACGCCAATGCGGTGTTTACTAAACCACAGGTTTAAACCTGGTTTGTGGTAATGAAACAAACCCTAGTTTGTCTAGGTTGCCTGCATTTGACCATCAAGGCAAACTGGAGTTTGATTCAAAGAGTCCAAAACCAAGAAGCCATTAAAAAACCTTTAGTATTTAAAAGGAGGAATGGGTATATGAGCCCAGCAAACAGGACAGATTCATAACCATCACAAAAAGAGGTTTGTTGTGACATCTGAATGCAACTTAAATGAAACTTGAATTGCTGTTGCTGTTACGATTTTAATAATTGTTTATAAAGTTGTAATGGATATTAAAGATTGTCTATTGTAATTGCTGTATTAAGAACATAAGAACATAAGAGACACCAATGTTGGATCAGGCCAAAGGCCCATCCAGTCCAACACTCTGTGTCACACAGTGGCCAGAAATACCAGGTGCCCTCAGGAGGTCCTCCAGTGGGGCCAGGACATTAGAAGCCCTCCCACTGTTGACCCCCCCCCCAAGCACCAAGAAAACCCAGGTTCAAATCTCCACTCGTGCCATGGAAGTTTGCGGGGTGTCCTTGGGCCAGTCACACACTCTCTGATGTTGTTTTTGGTATTTTTGGTGTTATTTGCTAAGGCTGTGAGCTAATGCAATAAAGTTTATGTATGTATGTGACTGCAACGCCAGTTTGGTACTATATCTGAACTATGGATTGCTCTCTTCCTTGCAAACCAGGACAAAACCAGAATTTGTAATAACAATTTCCAGGGAACATAACATAGTTTATGGTTCAGACGTATCTCACAGACAACCTATGGTTTGGTACAAAAGCAAACATCTTTAATTAGCCTGCTATATGCAAAGGAAGGAGGGGAGGGCGTAAGTGTACACAAATTCAAAGGATCCCCATAAGTTCATTCAGGTAGCTACAAACCATGCTTTTGTTTGTAGGAATAAGACGGAGAACTGGATCCCACATACTTACAAGAGTGCCGTGAGGAAAACCCATGCATTCAGTACTCAAGATCTCTGACCCTGATCAAGAGACATTCGTTTACAGAAGCGAGTTGTATGCCTGCTCTTACCGAACTGGATCCCACATACTTACAAGAGTGCTGTGAAGAAAACCCATGCATTCAGTATTCAAGATCTCTGACCCTGATCAAGAGACGTTCGTTTACAGAAGCGAGTTGTGTGCCTGCTCTTACTTGTCTCCCTCAGCAGCTCACCTACTGGTGGGAAGGTGAGCGTGCACCTTAGGATCACTGGATCAGAGCCCAAGATTGGCTTTATAACATAAAAGCTCTGGTGAATTTGAAACAAGGTGTTTCAGAAGTTAGCTGTGCTGGTCTGCAGTAGAACAGCTAGATTCAAATCCAGTAGCACCTGAGAGACCAAGTGATTCAGGGGATAAGATTTCAAGAGTAAAAGTTCCCTTCGTCAGACACGAGTAGAAATTGTGGTATCTGTCTGATGATGGGAGTTATGACTCCTGAAAGCTTATACCCTGACATTCTTGTTGGTCTCTAAGGTACTAGGAGACTCAAATTTAACCGAAACAAAGTGGTAATTGCATCTTACGGGGTTAACTTTGTGAGTGCATAATACTATGTACAACTGGTAATTTTTTAAACCTTTATACACCAACCCCCGAAGCCAGCAGTGCCCTGTGGTTGCCTAACCTCCAAAGCACAGACAAAGCCCCCCAACTTACAAGAACTTCTCCTATGGATTTCAGCGGAAGAATTTTGTACACATTTGTGGCAATATGCTCCCTTCACTGAAATGCATGAGCTGGTCCCAACTGCAAGCTGATGTTGGACATTTTCATCCCCTTCTATGGAGATAGATCAAGATGGGTAGCTGTGGACTTCCGGTCTTCGACGCTTCAACGATGGCTGCGTCTCTTGGCTCCTCCGAGAGACGTGTGCCATGAATCGGGGATTAGGAGGGAGCGTGACTGTGCATGCTCCCTCATGGAGCCCATAGGCAAATGGGCTCCTAGCCAGGGGGCTTTGGAGAGCCCTACCTCTGGCCGTCAGCCGGTACAGGGGGGCTACTCTCTGCCCTTAAGGTCCTGCCCCGATTCCCAGAATTGGATTAGAAGCAACCACCGGATCAAGTGTTCGGAGGTTTAGCGATTTTCTCTGCCTGGCGTGATCCCAGGGGCCATCTTAGGACCTGGTGGATCAATTTAAGGACTGATGAGTGAGTTTTTCGTTGAAACGAGACACCAAAGCTTATAAGTGAAGTCCCCCTACTAAATAAGCGGAGGGGGGGAGGGGACGCCCTATCTCCCAACGTTTTAAGTGAATGTGAAAGCATGATTGGAGGGACGGATCAAATTGTGGTGATGGACTGTAGCGGAGAGTTTTTCTGAAAGAAAGCTGAGCATTTAAACTGACTTTAGAGACTTTGGCATTCTTTCTCGGCGAATGTAAACATCCCCAAAAGATGGCGATGAGAGACGAGGAGGGAGGCGGGACCAATGCTTTCTTCAGGAAGGAGAACAGTGGAAAGCTAGGTCATGTGACCTAATAATAGACTCTGTCTTTAAAGTGAATCGTCGGCCCTCTGGTGGCTAAAACGGAGCAGCGACCTGGATCTGTACTAAAAGCGGCTATATTTTTAAAGGGACAGTACTTGGTGAGCACTTTGATCACAGAGACTTATGAATGGTTGGA